TGCTTAAGATGGGGAGGAGGTGAGTGCCATTCATGGGGGTGGGGAAGAGGATGTAGCAAAGAGAACCTAAAGGAAAAAAGCCTAGGAAGCTGGGAGGGTCTTGACAATTAAGGTATGGATGGGCAGGTAGAGCCTTGGAAGAGAATAAGACTACAATCAAGAAACATGGGGAACTAGATTTTCAAAGGCTGGAGGAACCACTCTTCTGTAAGCCCCTCTTCTGCTTATGGAACCACCATTCTCAGGGTTTGCAGAAATACGGGTTCAGGAAGGTATTGGAGATACAATGATTCCAATAGACAAACTACTGGATTTGAGAAGAGAAATGCCAGAGCCAGGCTAAAGACTTGGGGGGAGGAAATAGAAGGGAACTGAAATGTGATAACCAATCCTCTACCACCATGACACCATATCTGTGCATGCATGCACATGATGGACCATGAGCTCCTGAAGAATCAAGGTGAGACATTCCCTGGTAACTGGCTGAACCTGAAGGCCTGTGAAGGTCCTGTTCAGTTGCCTCTCCCCTCTCCCCTCCTCCCTCCAGGTTATGATGGGGAGAACCTGGGGAAGATACTCAAGGACCTGGAGTTAAGTGACACAGTGTATATGGATCGATGGTGTATGGAAGTGATTCCTCTGGACCCCAAGGAGAAGAGTGATCCAGTCCCCTACCACATCATCAACAACTACTTCTCCATTGGTGTGGTCAGTGGACTTTGCTTTTTTTTTTTGGAAGAGAGTAGGGTCAGAGAATAAGTGGGTGCTCAAAACATTGTGAATGAAGGATACAGAAAGGGAACAAGAAGTCTGAGAGAAATTCCAGAGCCCAGTGAAATAGTTCAGGTAATAGGACTGTGGTTTCATAGACACTTGAGTTACTGGGATCATTGGCATGTAAGATCTAAGCCATCGTGCAGTTACTCCCTCTTCTTCTCCTCGCCCCCACTAGCAACAGATAAATAGGAATGTGCCTAGGTGTGGTTTCTTTGGATACTAAGCTAGTTGGAGGAGGGGGTGGGGCATCTTTGCTGATTAAGAAAGATGTCGGGACTTGTCTACAACCTTCTGGCTTCCTCCCCCAGGATGCTTCTATTGCTCACCGATTTCATATCATGAGGGAGAAATATCCTGAGAAGTTCAACAGCAGGTGAGGGAGATCTGGGAATATTTGGAATGGGGTAGGTAAATAGAGTAATGGAGGGGACCAGGCTTTGACCTGTCTGTGTTCATGGGCCAGACAAGGCAGTGAATTCACTAAATGGACATCCTCTCACTCCCAAGCTCCCCTTGTAACTCTTAAGACTGGAGATGGAGTGGTCTCTCGCCTCCTCTGCCCCCTTGCCCTCCCACAGGCCCTATGTAACCTGGCCTATGTAACCTGCCCCCTCCCCCCTGGGCCTGGGGTGTGGGGCTGAGGCAGGATGAAGAACAAGCTGTGGTACTTGGAATTCGCCACATCTGAGTCCATCTTCTCCACATGCAAAAAGCTGGAAGAGTCTGTTTCAGTGGAGGTGAGATTGAGACACTTTCCAAACATGGCCTGGCCCTCACACCCAAGACATGTCCCAGCTGCTCCCATATTTCTTTCACTTTCTGATATATACCAATTCCCTGACTCCCAATGCCACACATTATCCAGACTCTGTTATATTTCCCCTAGGCTCCCAAGCCCCTGACCTTCCCTCAGTCTTCCGACCAAACTCTCCCAACCCCACCCTGACAACAAGGTACCCGGTACCCAAGGCATAGGCTGAGATGGTGCCCAGTCATGGGAAGGGATCAAGGAAGGGAACAGGGGCATGAAAAGGAAAAGAGGCACCGCTCCCTCTGTTACTCTCTTTGGGGAGCGGGGACACGATCTCCAGAGTTCTGTCATTCCTTCACCTACCCCAGATCTGTGGGACACCTTTGAAACTGAGTGACCTATCCCTGGAAAGCATTGCAGTGCTAAATATTCCCAGCATGCATGGAGGCTCCAACCTCTGGGGAGACAAAAAGCGACCCACCAAAGACACCCAGGATTTAGATATGGCCTCTGTGACTCCTGAAGCAATTACCAACCCTGAAGCCCTGAAAACCTGTGTGCAAGGTGAAGGGACTTTGGGAAGGTTATGGGTCACCTGGCCAAATTGGGGGTGGAGTTGAATGGCCCTTTTCATGGTGGGAGCAGGGCAGGGAATACTCTGTTTCTTCCTATGCTCACTCCTCAACTTTCCCCAGATCTGAGTGACAAGCGACTGGAGGTAGTAGGACTAGAGGGAGCAATTGAGATGGGTCAGATATACACCAGGCTGAAGAATGCTGGACACCGGATTGCTAAATGCTCCCAAATTACTTTTCGGTAAGAAAGACCTGGGGCTTAGTGGCAGGAGGAGATAGAGGGAACATGAGAATGGAAGGATTCCAAGTGCATAGAGACTCTTCCCAGGGAAGATAGGGCCCAGAGTCCCTGGGCAAATTGGGAAAAATCTGTATGTTAGGTCATATCTTCTCCCTCCCCTCCACATCAATCTGCTCTGGGTTCCCACAGGACCAGAAAAGCCCTCCCCATGCAGATCGACGGGGAGCCCTGGATGCAGGCACCATGTACTGTGAGTTCTTCCCCAAGCCTAACTCCATAAGGTTCTCTGGTCCCTGAATTTACAAATCTTGATCTTGTACGTGGCAAACTTGTTCCCTGAGTCTTCTGTGAGCTCCCAACCCAAATCATCTCTTCCCAAGCCCCCTACTGCACTGTTTCTAAGATGAGCAGTTTTCTGATGACCGTGGTAGGCCACATACATACCCAGACTCCACAGAATTTCCCTGGAGCTCTCACTGCCTGATCCCTTAGCCTACCAGCTTCCTTCGCTATGAACCTGGGCTCTTTACCTTTCAGATCCAGATCACCCACAAGAATCAGATGCCCATGCTTATGGGCCCCCCTCCACGCTCCTCCAACTTCTTCAACCTTTGGTCCTGAGAGGAGGGCCCCTCACCTCAGTCTCTATCCTCCACTCCCCCGGGCACTCCTTCCATGTCTGTGCTACCACCCCTGCTCTTCCCTTGGTGAGCTTGGGTGGGCTCCTTCCCCTCACAGTATTTATTGTCCCACTCTGCTTGCTTTCCTGCCCAACACACACATTGAAAGTGCCTCATCCGAATAAAATGGTTTGGTTTTTCACTACACCGTCTTGTGTTAATTGAGGAGGTTTGTTCTCCTATTCTCCACTCCCACTCTGCTTTGGGTTGTTGATAGACAAGAAGAGATCCAGTGTTGTGTTCAAAGTGTTTAATTCAGGTAATGGCAGGGCAGCTATGGGGGAGAGAGGGGAAGGGAAGATGTGAGTTCCTCCCAGCCCTGGACTAGTCCTGAGATGCTTTGAGTTGTCAGACCTGATGCCCATTGAGGAGAGGGCTACTTTCTCCACTGGGGCCCGGATAGAAGGAAGGAGGCAGTCTCAGCCAGTGAACTGTACGTCGAGGCAACCAGGATCGTGGAAAAGCTGAGCCCCGTTTCACACGCCTGGAGTGATTGAGAGGAGAAACAGTAATCAGCAGGGGTGGAAAGTCTTTCTTGAAATTGCCCTGCCCAGCCCACGTGGGATTTTCACGTGTACCATTCCACAGAAAGGGATATATCATCCATTTTCAAGGTGTCTGACCACCATGAAGTTCCTCTTAGGTGCTAAGGCCATTTCTTTTCATTCTGCCTGTCCTACATGGCAACAAATCTCCCTCTTAAAGCTTCATATTCAGAGCCCACAAACCTCGGGGAAACCTCACTCTACTCAGCCTCTTATTTGTTTTATTTATCCCTCAAAAATACAGAACAATGCTTTTCCCTTTGGTGGGGAGGACATCTGTTGGGCGAAGAGGGGCAATAGACCCTAATATGAGAATACATCTTTGTATAGCACTTTATGATTATGAAGTGCTCCATATTCATTCTCACCTGATCTTCACAATAGCCCCATGAAGAAGATAGTACAAGCTGTTAATTCCCATTTTAGAATAAGAATTTAGAGCTGGAAGGGACCTTAGAGTTCAGTTAGTTCAGAGGTTCTTAACCTGGGGTCTATGAACTTTTTTGGGGGGGGGGGATGAGGCAATCAGGGTTAAGTGACTTGCCCAAGATCACACAGCTAGTGTCAAGTGTCTGAGGCTGGATTTGAACTCAGGTCCTCCTGACTCCAAGGCCAGAGCTGTATCCACTGCGCCACCTAGCTGCCCGTATGAACATGTTTTAAAAAATATTTTGGTGATTTTCAATATAATTGGTTTCTTTTGTAGTCCTATCTATTTTATTTTATGCAATTGAAAACAATGTTCTGAGATTTACAGGTCCTCAGGCTTCACCAGCTGCCAAAAGATTAAAAGCTCCTACACTAATTGAATACTTCATGTTACTGAAGAAGGGGAAAGGACTTGTGCCCAAGGTCATACAAGTAATAAGTTGGCAGATCCAAGATAGAAATTCTCTCTACTACATCATACTTCTGAATATTATAGAAAAGAAAAATGAGACTCAAAATGGGGCCGTGGGTCACACAGCTCCCAAATGGCAAAGCTTGGAAAAGTTGGGTCTTCCAACTTTCTAGTCTAGAGCCCTTTAAACCATTGCAAGAAAACTAAAGGAAGGCTGGGTAAATCTCAAGACCCATTTCTCTGTTCCAAATCTCTATGGAGGACAGAATGATTGGGGAAGGGCTGAAACTACATCAGACAGGCTAGCACATGGAAGAGGAGGCATCTTACCTGTACATTAGAGATGCCAGGGCTATTGCCACTATAGCCAGCATAATGCCTACCAGCAGTGGAGCCTTCTGGGTGCCTGCCTCCTGTCCTGTGAACACAGCCCCAGGTGTCCTCACTGTTAATCCTCCTCTCTCCTTGAAACCTTCTACCAACCACCACCAGCAACCTTTCCTCAAATACCTACTTGGGACTATGAACTGAGCACTGGCCATAACCAAGCTGTTGGTATCAGCCAGGGATACATTTAGGCAGTAGATCCCTGCACCTCCTTCTAGAACTTGGTGCAGCACCAGCTGACAATCTGGACTCGATATTACAGGCTGGCACAGTTTCTGGACAGGGAGCTGGCACCCTGGAGATGAGATTTCTGTGCAAACTTTATCAGGCAGCCTGAATATGGGGGATGGAGGAGGGGTAGGACAGGAGTCAGTTTATGCCAGGGAACTGGGAAGAAAGACTGAACAAAAAAAGTCAGTGCTATTAATCAGCACTGGTGAGTCCCCTGGAATTAAATATATTTCCAAGGATCAGTGTCCCCTCAGAGACTACTCACCCTCCTTGGCAGGACACAGTGAGCTCAATTGCATCTCCCTCACTGACAGACACAGCCTGCAAGATTTCAGCACTCTCAATGCCCTCTGTGGAGATGGACAATCACATAGGAATTCTTAGGGTTTATGTTGGAAAGGACCTTGGGGGTCATCTCCAACCTCCAAGGAAACTGAGGCTCAGAGAATCAAGCTACTTCCCCAACTCTATCTGGTCTGGAGAGAAACTGCTGATTCCTCCAAATAAGGATCCATTGTCTGAGTGTCCCCTGAGCTCCAGATCTGGCTCAGAGCCCCAGAATTTTTGTGGAGATCTTGCCAACATGCCTTTCCCTCTCGAGGCTTTGGGAGACTATTGCCTCCCTGCTGTCCCTCTCCAACCCCTCCCAAATAAAGCAGACAGGACTCACGGACAATGTCAAGGGTAAGAGCAAAGGAGCCAAATCGATACAGGATGCAGTCCAGAGGGGTCTGGCGCCTCACCAGTGGCAGGACAGCTGTGCCAGCAGAGGGGAAGGCTGATAATACTTTAACATATATAGTGGGAAAAGGTTATGGAAAAAAATGGACAGGAGTTCTAGAGTTTTTCTAGCTAGGGCCAGCTCAACCAGATGCATTAAATAGTTGAAGTGGGTATTTGGTACAATTAGGGTTATGTGTCAAGGCCTGGGGGATTTCTATACAATTAAATATGAAATAATGGCATACAAATGAAATGTAAACCTCATGCAGATTAATTCGGAGTCCACCATCCATCCCTACCTTCTTTTCCATTGTAATTCTAGGGACAAGCTGGTTTTCCCCCATGATAGAGACAGGGCAGGGACCCAGGATTTCTGAATTCCAACTATACGTACCTGTTGTTCCAGGGAGGTTGGCAGCTTCTGGTCTCAAAGAAGTAGTAGAAGGAATTGTGGGTACCTCTGAGGTGCCCTCTGCAAGAGCAGCAGAGCTGGTGCCTGAGTTTACCAAGACCGTATCAGAGGTGTTCACAGACTCCACAGTTTGCCCTATTCCTGTTGTGTTCCCTGTTACGTCTGAAATCCCTTCATTTGTGTTATTGGTTGGTGCTACAGTTGGCATTTCCCCAGCAGTGGTGCCCGGGAACCCTGCAGTTGGCACCTCTCCAACAGGGGTCCCGGGGACCTGTATACTTTGGGTTTCCCTAGTAGTGGTGCCAGGGGCCACTTCAGTTGGTACCTCTGTGGCTGTGGTACCAGAAGCCACTGTAGTTGATACCTCCCCAGCTGTGGTACCAGGGGCCTCTGAAGTTGCTATCCTTCCAGCTGTGGTGCTCAAAGGCTGGGTGCTTGGGGGATCAGTGCCTGGAGCAGGAGAAGTCCTGCAGGAGGCAAGGGGAATAGCAGCTTCCAAAACCACCTGGGCAGTGACTGGGCCTGGCACCTGGTACGTGTGAGTAACAGTGGGTACCCGAGAGATTAGAGTCCCACTACCATCTCCAAAATTCCAAGTGTAGGATAGGTCAGCCTGGGACAGATAGCTGCTAGGATCATGGAGCTGGAGGTTGAAGATTAAGGGCTGGTTCCTCAGAAAGCGCCTCTCTCCCCCATCCAGGGCCTGGAGCTGTGACACACTCACAGAGAAAGGAACCTGGTCTGGGAGGGGGTCAGAAAGGGTAAGAAGAAGGGCCAAAGACTTTCCTGACTCCTCCCATTACCCCCACACTCTCTGGACCTGGACAGCTGGAATTATGGGAGAGTCAATTTCCAAGACTATTTCTTTTCCTAATCCACATTGACTCTTCACTAGCCCTTTACCCCTATAATCATGCAAATTCCCTGACTCAGTCCCTCAAAAGAATACTTCCCCTACCCCTTCCCAGCAACTGGCTAGTCCCTCTTGGACCCAATCCCTTTCTAGATTTCTTGCCTATTTTTGCCCCATCCCTGATTGTATTCTTTGCTCCTACCAGTGAGGGTGAAGGCAGACAAGCCTCTGGCAATGGGCACATAACTCCGAGGTCCTCGGTGATGATAAACAGTCACCTCCATGGTATGGGGACCTGTAGCTACACCAAGTGTCTCAATGCTCAGTTTGGACACTGGGCCTCCCAAAACTTGCCAATATTTCCCTGTGGTTAAGGTAGAGAGGGAGATTAAGAACTGTCAGGTATGTGGCCCAGAGAGGACAGAGGTACATATTGGGGTGGGGTCAAAGGATAAGATTAAAAATGTCAAGAGAGAGCAAAATCTGGTATTGGCAGAATGTTCAGATGAGTGCAAAGTGGGTGTCGATAAAAAAAAAAAAAGATCCAAGGTATAGAACCATGGAAGGGGGAGAATCCCAGTATTGAAAGAGCAGAATAGGGTCCAAGAAAGGAGGCCAGGATTAAGATGATCCCAGAGGTGAACATAGTCCCTAATAAGGGAAAGGATTTGGAATGTATTGACAGGTTCAGAGAAGATAGTTTCTTACCCCAAGTCTTCCAGACATAGATGAAACTTCTATGAGGTCCAGCCTTAGAAGGGCATGGTTGCCCATCAGGGAAGACACAAGCAGCATCAGAACTTTGAGGATACACTGGTTGCCCACCCCATACCTGGCTTCCTGAAAGAAATATGGTCATTTTTGAACCTTAATGTCTTCTTTACTCCAATTCCAATCACTAACCAAGAAAGAGGTTATAGGTATTGACTGAGTAAAGTGAAGCCAGTGGCTCCATGGGGCAACATTCTAGCCACATGGGGCATTTTATTAAATCTGTGAGGATATTAGGGGGAGTACACAGAAAGGCTACTAGGAAACATACTCGGGAACAAAGAGAGATCCCTTACCATTGATGGTACCATTGCCGGCCCAGGTAATATGCCCATTGGGCAAGACCTTCTGGCTTGGGGGGAAGTGCAGGATGATAGAGAAGGAAACGTGGGCACCAGTCAGAGTTGGGGCATCATTACTGACCTCCAGGGTCACCTGGCCTCCTGGATAAGGAAAGAGCATTAACTGGGGATCCTGACCCCTGCATGCCCTTTTTCATCTTATGGTTTTTCCTCTAATCCCACTTTTATTTTTTTTTACTTAATTAATTTCTTTCTAGTTTTCAATAATTTGCTTCTATAAGATTTTGAGTTCCACATTTTTTCCCTCTCCCTTCCCTCCCTCCACCCCAAGACAGCATGCAATCTGATAGAGGCTCTATGTATACATTCATGTTAAACATATTTTCACATTAGTCATATTGCTAAGAAGAATTAGAACCAATGGGAGGAACCACGAGAAAGATGAAACAAGGGGCAGTTAGGTGGTGCGGTGGATAGAGCACTGGCCCTGGAGTCAGAGGGACCTGAGCTCAAATCCAGCATCAGACACATAACACTCACTAGCTATGTGACCCTGGGCAAGTCACTTAACCCCATTGCCTAGCCAAAAAAAAAAAAAAGGAAGAAGAAATGAGAGAGAGAGAGCAAATAGTATACTTCGATCTGCATTCAGACTCCATTGTTCTTTTTCTAGATGTGGATAGCATTTTTCATCATGAGCCTTTTGGAGTTGTCTTAGTCTAATCCTTGGTCTAACTCTGCTCCTCTTCTCACCATTTTCCTAATTCCACCCCTTCCCACTTATTCCAAGTGCTGTTTCTTACCTTTCCAACAGTCAGGGCCCTGAATTCCAGTCTCCATCCATTCTGGATACAGCTTTGAGTTCCAGACATTAGCTTGGGGATGATTCCTGACACCTTGCCAGCCTGGTTCACTTGGCCCTAAAAAGAATAAACCACAAGAAACAGAATTAGTAATCCTCTCACTTAGGGGACATGTAGTAGTAGTAGCAACAGTAGCAGCAGCAGCAGCAGCAGTAGTTTTATATTTATTATTTATGTATCTATTGTTTTTTTGGACCTGTGGTTTCATTGGTATGGAAGCACCATATATTGGTATAGATCTGCAACTCATATTTGAGTAAGAAACCACTCTTTGTTACCTGGGACTAAGAAATTAAGTAACTAGCCCATGATTACATAGCCAGTATGTGTCAGAAAAAGGATTTGAGCCCATTTTCCTGAATCTAAGATCAGCCCCTCTATCTACCAAGCCTCACTGCTTTTAGGTGATGAATGCCATATCATAATAGATTAGAAAGAACACTGGGGCACAGTATCGAGGAACGTAATCTTCTAGGATAATAAAAATGGGAAATCTTAGAAGGGTCTAGAAAGGGGCTAGAAGCCAAAAGGAGAAGATATAACTAGGAGAATACATGCTGTAGAGGAGAATTCTGAAGGAATGGTAGAGTCTTCGGTTAGATGAATCTGATGGGGGACCCAATTTTCTGTTCTAAATCTCTAATGGAGAACAAAGTCATCAAGGCAGAAATTGCTGCAGATGAATGAGCTCAGTGGTTTCCATCTTGTGGCAAGTGGATATATTACAATGAGTCACAGACCTTTTACAGATTAAATAAATATTTCATGGGCCTGGGTTTAAATCCTACCTCTGATACTACCTGTGTGATCTTACACCTCAGTTTCCTCATCTGAAAAATAAGGGGGTTGAACCGGATTACTTCTGGGTTTTCTTTTAGCTCTAAAGGTACAATCTTAAGAAATAATGTTCATGAATTTATGTATCACTGTCACTACATTTCAACTGTATGTAGATGCTGTTATTCATAAAATACAAATTAATTTAAAAGTGTTACTGAATTTATAGTAGCTTTTTGTTATTTTTTTTTCAACCAATGGATACTAATAGTACAACTGCTACCAGGTGGGGGGGGGGGTTTGTGAAATGGTCTTGATATTTAAAAAGAAAGAAAGAAGCAAGGAAGAAAGAAAGGAAGGAAGAAGGAAGGAAGGAAGACAGACATAAATCTATCAGACAAAATGTTCATACCCTTTGATCCAGAGATTCCACTATTAGGCATATTTACCACAGAGGTCACTGGAAAAAAAGAAAGACCCTATATTCACCAAATATTTATGGCAGCACACTTTGTGGTAGTGAAGAACTGAAACAAAGTATGTATCTATCATCTGGGGAATGACTGAATAAATTGTAAATATAATAAATGGAATGGGGAATATTGCTGTGCTTTAAGAAATGAACTACACAACGATGCAGAGGATGGAAAGACTTATACGAACTAATGCAGAATGAATTAATCAGAGCCAAGAAAACAATATACATAGTGACTACAACAATGTAAATGGAAAGAACAATCAAAACTGAGTTTCAAAATTATAAAAATCAAGCATGGCCCTAAAGAAGAAATAGGAGAAGACATCTTCCCCCACTCCTTTGTAGAGATGCTGGAGTCCACAGGTGTAAAACATTGCATATATTGTGAGATTTTACATATATATATGTATTGCACATATATATATATACACACACACAAAGCACACATACATATAAATGTATATGTCAGTTGTGCTAATTTTTCCTCTTTTTTTCATGAAAAAATTCTTTGTTCTGTGGTATGGCTCTCTGGAAGGAGGAATACAGGGGGAAGTTTAAATGATGAGAAATAAAAGATATTAATAATAATATTTTTTTCATCTATCCTTACACTAAAAAAAAAAGAGAGAACTGCTAGGTTAGATGTTCGGGGAGATTGGGTTTCCTGATTTTCCAAGATTCAGAGGGACAACAGGGACAAGAAAAGGCCTAGGGACTCAGAGGTAGAGAGAAGGAACCTAGAATAATCTTACTGAATATCTCATTGTTAGGATAAAAGGAGTAATAAGATCTCCCCATCTCCTTTCTCCTCCCCATTCTCTTCTCGTACTGTACCTTCTGATGTTCCAGACCAACCCCCCTTCCTAGTCACGAGGTCCCAATCCCCCAGCAGATCCTTTTCATGTGATTCTCAGCTGAGACCCCCATGCCTCCCTAGCGCTAGCCCCAGAATAGCAGGCAAGGACAATGGGCCTCCTTCTCACACCCAAAGGAATAGGGGGATCCTCTTTAACCTTTTGATCTCATACACTTCCTTCTTTTCGCGGAGAACTGTCTCCTTCACATCCATGCCCCTAAAGTGCCAGGTACCAGAAGAGGCAGGAACAACTGATCTACCAACTTTAGGGATGGTCTATTTCACCTTCAAAAATCCTGATTTGATCTATTTCATCCCTTCAGAGTCTTAAAACTTAAGCAACAAGCACTGCAAAATTCCTCCCCTTTTCAAGAGGTACTTCAGCTCAACTTTCCCACATTTCTAGAGGGGAAGGGATGTCTAGTCTAAATGTTCAAGTTCTTCTGAACAGATGGGGGAAAGGGGATCAAAAGAGGTCTGAGGAATTGGCTAGGGGAGCTAAGCCTAGGAGATAGTCCCAGTTTAAACTGCCTATCCTTTCCCATCCTCCCAGCACATCCATACTTATTCTTTATACTCACCATCAGCAGCTATTGTAGTCAACACGACACAGGTCATGGCTGTATAATACAACCAAATCATCTGTCCCAGTCTCATTCTTTCTGCCAATTGAACAACCATAGCACAGAAGCTAGTGCTAGCTCCTATATAAGAAAGGGGTGCTTACTCATTTGCATAGCCCTGCCTATCTTCTCCTCCCTTCAAAATTCCCAGGGAAGAAAGGAAGAATTGAGGAGAGGTGGATGGGACTGACAGTGGTGTGATGTAGGAAAAAGAACACTGCACTAGGTAGTGGAAAATGTGGGTTCTCTTTCTATTCCTTCTTCTACCAATTATTGGTTGTATGACCATAACCTCTCTGAGCCTCAGTTTCCCATCATTAAAAGAGGGATGTATGAAAATGCTTTGAAAACTTTTCTTTTCCCTACTTCAAAACCTGCTGGATGTTTTGAACCCCACTAGGTGATTAGATTTTTTGGCTCTGTTTTCCCTCAATACCCCCAGATAATTGTTAATTATATGGTAGCCTGAATCTCTGGGCTACACAGGAGTCAAGCAAGAATTAAGGAATTTCTCTCGAGCTCTTCATCCTATCAACCATCTCCACCTCCCCCCTCCATAGCTACACAAATAATTCAGCATGAGAGATTTAGCCAAAAGAGTTAGTTACATCAAATCAGGGACCTCATTAAAAGATGGAGACAGATCCTCTTCACATGACAACCTGTGAGACAGAAACAGGAAGAGGTTGAAAGACAAAGATAGTGAAGAGAGCATTGGATTTGTAGTGTGGGGGTGGAGGGAAGATGTTAGAGTTCTGCCTCAGACACTTACTTGCTGTATAACCCTTCACAAATCACCTGAGTTCCCTGATCCTCAGATTCTTAGTCTAGAAAAAAGAGACAATCACACCTGTACTACCTACCAAACAGGGCTGTCGAGAGGACCAAATGAGATAATGAGTATAAGGTATTGTCTCAATACCATCTATGACTATATTTACACCATCACAGGGCTGCTGTGAAGATTACATAAAATCAATGATGAAAAAAAGAGTAGCTAAGTGGCATAGTGGATAAAGCTCCCACCTGAGAGTCAGGAGGACCTGAGTTCAAATGTCAGCCTCAGACACTTGACACTTACTTAGCTGTGTGACCTTGGGCAAGTCACTTAACCCCAATTGCCTTAGCAAAAAAGAAAAGCTTTTTGCATATTTTGAGTGCTATATGAATATTTGTTATGAAGCTAGTATTAATATAATATAATTATTATAGTAACTCACAGTTATTTAGGGCTTTAAAGTCTGAAGTCAAAAGGGCATTTGAACTTAGGGATTTAAATTCTGACTACAAATATAGGAAGCTATTTTATTCACTGTACCCCACCTCCATTATTATTATTAAAATAGAAATATAGTCATACACAGTGGTATGTTGGTAAATACTTAACAACCAGCTCTCTGAAAAAAATATGAATGACATGCTTTTGTTTTCACTTTCTTAAGTTTAGACAATTAACAAAATAATTAATCAAGTCCCGATTAGTAGCATTTGCTGATTTCTTAAGTGTAAATCAACTCTCAAGAGCTGGTTTGAGCTGGCTCCAGCACACTCTTGGATATATCCTGGACTCAGAACCATAGTTCTCACTGTTCAAGGTCATTCTTCTCTATTCAAGACTCCCTTGGAAGAAGGGGAAGTGAAAAAAAAATCTGGACTTGGAGTCAGGAGAGACTTGAGTTCAAATTCTGTTTCTGACTCTTACTATGTACCACAGAGCCAGGCACCCAGCATAGTGCCTGGCTCTGTGGTACATAGTAGGTGCTTAACAGTCACTTAACTGAGCCTCAGTTTCCTCAGCTGTAAAATGGGGATAATAACCAACACAATCTACCTGACAGTTGTTGTGGGGATCAAATGAAATAAAGTAGGTTTAACAGTGGTAGAGATATACTTCTTGCATTGTGTGGGTGAAAAACACTTTTTAAACTTTATAGCACTTATATAAATGACCAATATTACTATTCTATTCCTTTAATCAGGATTTGTAGAAGAAAGGTGGGCAAGAGACTAGGGAGTCTCTTCAGACATGTACAAAAGGCAGGGGAGATAGATTCAAGAGAGGTACATGGCTATAAGAAATAGGAGATTATCTACACTGGATGAATAATCGTTGGACATAGACAAGGGCCATCACCAAAATTGCCATTCCTCAGGTCTTTCAAGAAAGAAAAGTTGACCTAGGTAAAGAATTGGCAGAGTGGAGAAAAAGGGATGGGACGTTACAGTACTTCACTGCAACCAGTAGGACAGGACAGGGCCCTCAGCCCCACCCCTGTGATGACGCAGACCAATAAGACACTCTGGGGGCGGAGCGAGTGAAACGCGGGAAGCTGGGGCGGGGCTTCTGGAGGAGGCCGGGCGCGGGAGGGGGGAGGCGGCAACATTGTTGCAAGTTGAAGAAACTGACTGACAAGGGGCAAAGGATACACAGCGTTCCATCCGGGCTCGGGCCACCGCGCCGGCCCCCTGCCCTTCAACTCTGCCCCCAGAGCCAGGCTGCTCTTCTCAGGATTCTCACCCGTTCCCAAGTTCCCACTCCTGGGCCGTGCCGGCCCCGCTCCCCGGCTCTCCATGGATAATTTCCAAAAGGTGGAGAAGATCGGAGAGGGCACTTACGGGGTGGTGTATAAGGCGAAGAACAAGGTGACTGGAGAAGTGGTGGCGCTCAAGAAAATCCGTCTGGACACGTGAGTGGCCCCCTCCTACCCTCGACCCCACTACCTCGAGGGTTCCTGGAGTGCCCCCATCCTAGATAGGGGTCGGCAGGAACGGAAGATGGAGGGGCAATTTCTTTTGGAGTGGGGTTCTGGGTTTTTCGGGGGACAGGGTAGTGTGGCTTTCTGGGTGGTGTGTTGGGAGGGGTCTCTCAACTCCAGTTGAAGGAAGCTTAGAATGTGGAAAGCCTCTTCCTAAAATTGCCTGTGACAATGCCCCAAATGTGTAGGGATTAATTCAGGGAAAGGGAAAAAACCTCTAGAAGGGCCTGTGGAACCCAATGGAGTTGGATTTTGTAGGAAGTAAGTGGCAGAGGGACCCCAACTGGTGGGAAGCAGCTGCCAACAGGTATTCCCCCCTCTTCCCTACATTAGAATTCTCCCTGCTCTTTCAAAAGAATGGCAGTTGAACCTTCACTGGCCCTACTGGGGGAGGTTAGGATCACCCCCTCAAACCTTTTCCCTATTGCCCTCCTTGCCTCAGTTTCCCACCGTGCAAGAGAGTTAGATAGAGGCCTCACTTCCTAACACCTTATTGTACTCTGGTGGGAGGGAGGAAATGGTGGCCTTTATGTGTCCAAAAGCCACTCCCTGGCCTGTGAGCCCCACCCTGCAAGGGCAGGAGTAGTTTGTAGGCTGGCATTCTCTCTTTAGTCTCTTCCCCACCTTCTCAGAGATGCTTGGTAGGGCCTCTGTTAGCAATTGGGATCTAATTAGGGAGAATGGGCTGTGGGGAGTGACCTTCTTGCTAAACTCCCATCTCTGCTCCCCCATCCTCTCCAAGTGAGACAGAGGGCGTCCCCAGTACTGCCATTCGAGAGATCTCTCTACTCAAGGAACTTAATCACCCCAACATTGTCAAGTAAGTATGTCTTTGAGGAGGCTCTGATATGTTGATATGTTCATCCCCACAGAGTGGGCCGCTGATTCCCCCATCTCTTCTCATAGTGATATAAACCTGTTTTTAGTACATCAATGGCAATGACCCCTTTTCCCCTCTCCCTTTGGTCACCCTGACCTCTCTTCTATAGGCTGCTGGATGTTATCCACACAGAAAACAAACTCTACCTGGTTTTTGAATTCCTGCATCAGGATTTGAAGAAGTTCATGGATGCATCAGCACTCACAGGCATCCCTTTGCCTCTCATTAAGGTAACGTGCTTCTCCCTCTACTGGCCTTTGACTCTCTTATTTTTGATAATAACATCCTGAATATATGTCCCTATATTCCTTGTGTTCAGGGCAAATAGGGTATTCTACTTACAGTAATGGGTTTAAAACAAAAAATATTTTACAGGTAATTCAGGTTCTCCCCCCCCCCCATCTCATTTGTGCCTTATTTTGTAGCTTATTAATTAGGGCTGGGCTGGGCTGGGCTAGGCTAGGCTGGGCTGGGGAACCAAAAAAGCTGCAACTACACTGAGTCAACTCCTTATTAACTGCTCAGGTAGATGGTGGGAAAGTTTTAGATAGAGGTAGACTAGCTCATTTAGCTGAAAGTCTGTAGTTTACTTAAGTACTCATCCCATCTTCTGACATGAAAGCATTATGAGTGCCTTCTTGTGGGGGACAGTGGCTAAATGCATTTGAATGATTGGGCTTCTGTTCCTTCCTGGGAAGCTATTTTCAGTGCATCAGTAAAAAAATAAACAAAAAAACAAAAAACAACCCTTTTATTGAACATCCACAGTGTACAAGGCACTGTAAGGAAGGAGAGCTGCATCCTATCATGCTATTCTGTCTTCTTCCATATACCTCTTTTGCCAGAGCTACCTGTTTCAGCTCCTCCAGGGTCTAGCCTTCTGCCACTCTCACAGAGTCCTCCATCGAGACCTCAAGCCGCAGAACCTCCTCATCAATGCTGAAGGCTCCATCAAGCTGGCTGACTTCGGACTTGCCAGGGCCTTTGGAGTACCTGTCCGTACCTACACTCACGAGGTGAGAGGCCCATGCGCTGATCCCCTCTAATGATCTTATAGGCACTTCCCAGGAGTTACTATATACCTTTTACTAAGTCACTAAATGTTTACGGTTCTCAGTTTCTCAGTAAGTATTTACTTAGAACCTACTATTTTCTTGATGCTATGTTGGGGATACAAACATGAAATAGCCCCTGCCCTCAAGGAGTTTACATTCTATTCAGGGAGACAACATGTACATAAAGAAATATGTAGAAAATAAACAAGAGGTAATTGTTTGAGGGGTGAGCACACTAGTAGACGGGAAGATCAAGAAAGACTTTTGTCACTTAGAGTTTTGAAGGAAACAAAGGATTCTAAGAGGTGAAGGTGAGTGGGAGGGCATTCCCTACATGGGGGACAGGTATTCCAAAGATCACATGGCA